ACAAAATAAACATCAATGTTTATCAAATATGAGCAAAGATTCTGAGGGAAAAAATTTCGCATTTTAACTGTATAAATTTTTTACCCACACCCTTCCCAACTTTCTAATACATATGTTCCCTCTCTAAACGATTTTATCATCTAGAAGAACTGAAAATTAATTACACCCCTAAGGGCCTCTAAGAGCATCCGCGAGATGTAATTCTATTGACGCGCAAATCAATTAATGGGCAAATTAATTGAACATGCCTTTTGGGCGGTACTCTCTGTGTCTGTTTCTTCCTTTTTCTCCTTTTCGTTCGAGTCGACCACAACACTGACATTACACTAAAGGTGAAAACAAGGTAAGTTAGTAAGTTGGTTCATTTCGCCAAACATCTAAGCGATGCCAGACTTGAGGTCAGAACTGCCATGCGGTACTTTATGTTATCACTAATACCTTCAATTCACATGCAATAACATAACAACACCATAGAGAATCATTTTCTTGGGCAAAAATAATCTGAAAGATAAGGAAGGTTCCCATAAAAAGGAAAGAAGATGGTACAAGATGCGAAATATTAACAATAATTTTAATTATAGACTCGAAAAATGAAGGCTGAATATGTTAAAGTGGACGGGGTATGACACTGAACTCCATATTTCGAGGGCGTTTTGTGGTTGGGGTAGAAACTCGCGCCAGTGAGCTACTCAACCAATTAGAAGCTGATACCAATTTTGAATCACCCTTGGTACAATCTATGGTGTTCTTTCACTCTGAGATTTTGTTGTCGTTGTTGTGGTGTTTGCATATGTTCCGATGGCTGTGTAACACCGCAAAATAATTCCTAGATCCGTTACACTCTGATTCTCAAAGTTTATTGCTATGTAAAACTTTTTAAGATCACTTGAAGTTCCAACCTTACGTGAGCTTTTAACGAATCTGTGCGCGCAATTTCTCGCCGATATTTCAAATTTTAGGTTGGACAGAAACGTATATGAAAAGTTTTCCTGTCCTTTTTTTCCTGTTTTTTCCTGCAAAAACAGGTGTAAAAGAATCTGTGGTATCAGCTAATTGTAGTTTCAGAAACAAATAAAGGAGGAACAAAAAGAAGAAGTGTCAAAATAGTACTTGGGCAAATAAGGTGAATGGAGAGATTTAACAGCAAGTAAAACCTTTGTGACAATGTTTTAGATTCTAAACTACGTGCATAAAATAGGGAAATTGACTCTTTGAGTCTGGAAAAGATATTTCAATCTCTTGGTTTGGATCAAATTTTAATTCTTTTTCTGAACACAAAGCTATCTTAAACTTTCTGCGCAGTTAGAAGAAGCAACAGCTATGTAACTTAAAATAAATGCGCACACACGAGGATCCACCTGATTAAAACGAAAAAAGTATAATAACTAACAGTAGTGAAACAGGCCGAACACTTGCACAGCAGGCTTTATAAAAACGAGAGAAACACTCGGCAACTGAGCGTTATCAATATGTATAATATTTGTTGTTTGCTTACTTTCTCTGAGCTTTGATCAATTCCAACAGTGTCGAGGACTAGATCGCGTATATCCAGACAAACGTCACCAACTGAAGCATATGGTAGATGAGCCGGTGTGTAGAATCCACAGAGTCGCTGTTTAACATGCCGGTTGTATTTATCTTTCCAGTGATCTTCGGTTAGTTCGGACTTGTAGTAACGATTTGTGCGAATTCGCACTTTTCTGTCGCTTTGAGTCAGCGACATTTGAGGCTCGGAACGAAAATTTTGCTTCAAGCTGCGAACAATGTCTGCGTAAATCTGATTCTCAGTTTTCTGCAATCCAACCATCGTGATCTTTGAGTAACTCTTTTCAAGGAAATAGTAATATCGTGAATTCTGCTACTGTTTTCAATAACCGACAAATTCACCGAATCAAACAGCCAAAACAAACATACTTCCAGTCACCATAGGGACGTTTAATGACGAATAACGTGACGATAGTCGTGACGATTTAGTAATCTGCGCCCGCAGTTCATCAGACTCGTCTGCTGGGATGAACAAGTCTTCTTTCCGCCTCACAAGTATGGATAGATATTAACTGCTTAGCGTGTTTCTAGTTTTAAACCGCGAAGTTTTCTTATCAAAAATTTCCTTCAAACGAGCTAAACAACAACAATAACAACAAATCAGAAATCAAGCCACGTGCTTTAAAAATCACAACGCGTCAGGTGCAACAGCTGCCACGCTGCTTATCCCTAAACAACATGAAAGAACAAATCATTTTAGCTATTATACTTCCTTTGTGTAGGTTCCAATCGTTAGAACAGATCACCAAGAGATACAAAAAAAACAAGGAATGAGGCCTTGTACGTCACAGGTGAGAGGCCAGATTGCATGATGGTCAGCATTAATTATGGTCACGGCTGTGGTCGAAATTTAAGAAAATTTAAATTCTTAAAAGCGGTCAGCGTCAGAACTTTAAAACGAAACAATTAAATTTTAAATTTACATCAATTCCTCTGCTATCATCTTTGAAGTAATGAGAATGTGCTGAATCTTTATTCTTAACCAGGAAGAGCAACGTGGTACGGACAAAATGTTTTGAACCTCACACAATGCTGGCACATCAGCCACCAAATTTTAATCATCCAAAAATTCTTTATTTTTAAACCCAAAAATTTCACCACCTTTATTGTGGAATTTTAGAGAATATGAGAGGAAAATAAAAATCTTATGCAGGAGATATTTCATACACCTGTCAATAAATATACACAATAATATGACATTCATAACCATAGCATTAATAAGGCAACAAAATGTAATTTGTCCATAATGTTCGCTTTGTAAAATGTATTCTATATACAAGGCTAAAAGGTTAAAAAAAAAAATTAAAATGTTTAAACCAAACGTTTTCGGCTGTTTGCCATCATCAGGTTAAAAAAAACTTTTTTTTTTTTTTTTTAACCCTGATGATGGCAATCAGCCGAAAACGTTTGGTTTAAACATTTTAATTAATTTTTTTTTTTAACCTTTTAGCCTGGTATATAGAATACAAAATGTAATTTGATATTCAAAAAATTTTAATTTCACGCCTATTTTATCAATAATGTCTACATAAATATTCAATACTTCCACTCTTAAAGGAAAAGAATGCCTCCCAGTCACATAATTTTCATGTACAGAACTTAATTATGTCAATTACATCTAATTATGTAAAACTTGGTAACCTAACTACGCACAAAACCACAAAGTGGGGTTCACAAAAAGCGGCTATTCTGATCATCACAAAAATTTATAATTTCCTGTGGCTCCAACTTATATAAAAAAATTTCCGAGATGGAAAAAAAAAAGAAGAGGAAAGAGACTTCTTCACATCACAGGAAAGCAGCCAGGTTACTGAGCAAGCAGCCAAAAGTTCAACACATTTGAATAGTTTGGATGCTCAATGGAGTCTCACATGATGAGTGAGATCCCTGATCATCAGTGATCATGAGCAGCTTAGTTTATAATTCACAGTATACCTCTTTATGCTAAAGAAAAAATTTATAGCTTCTGGCACAATTACTTGCCCTTTAAAACTTTACACCCTAACATCAAAACACAGACTCTCCTCACCATTCCCTGTACATTTTTTAAGTGCTGACATGAAGGATTTGTTTAAACAATCTAGAGCTTCATTAGTTGATGATCATTTCCTTCATTCTTTGACCTTAATGTTTGATTCAGGGATTATATTAACAGGAAAAATGAGAAGTTGGTCACTCTTAAGGGGCAAAGGGTTGACTTAACTTCCCAAGATTAACAAAATTTTCCCCTACAATGTCAATACTGACAATAAAATATCAAACAGACAAGTAACAAGAATAGAGAAAACTAACAATAGGGGGATTATTAGTTGATCAAATACCAAATTCTCCAAATTAATATCCTTAAGTTAAGGAGAATAACAATAGGATCCAGGAAGTAAGAGGGTTAAAAATCCCTGCCCTCCCCGGTCAAATACAGTTAAAAGTTTCAGAATACAAATCTGTGTTCACTTCCTTTACATTTGTTTAAAAGTATTGCTACTTCACAACTGAGCCTTAGAAGGCAAATAAGTTTCCTTTCCTTGATCTGTTTCTACAGCTACAAGCTTGTGACTGCTATGATAACCACATTTCATAGCTGACAAATGTTACTCATTATTAAACTGTTATTGTTGACATCTTTTTTTTGGCATCTTTGACCACCAAAATCTGACAGTTTACATGAATTATATGCAATTAAGCTTATTAATTGTCAAGGTCTAAAATCCTTGAGGCCCCTTCCCCCTACTCACCCACTCCTTCACCTTCTTACACAAACACACAAATAAACCAACTGCACACAAATGAACCAATTGCAAAGTTCTGCGAGTGATTTGAATACTAAGGAAATGTGATTGAAAACAACACTATTTTCTTTCAAATACCTTAGTTTACTTTTCATGCATATTTCAGCATCTACTCTCCTGGCAGGTTTCTTTTTGAAAATAATTTAGTCAGCAGACAGCAAATCTAGTTCATGCTATCTAGGGTGGCCTTTTGAAGTGGCTTGTTGGTCATCCAAGACATGTAGGCATTCCAAAATATTGCCACTATCTGAACAAACCCCACCTGATGCTGAATTGGAACAAACGTGAAGTTAATCGTCTGCGCCAGAGGCCATATTTTGTAATTGGTAACCATTGTCTCCAAATAGCGCTCCTGAAGCATTTCTTTTATTTCAGAGGGTTTTTTCCCAGCTAAAGTCTCTGTAACACCAAAGAAAAAGCAAATCATACATGGAGCAAAGAGAGCCTGATCAAGGAGCATCTTTTTGAAGCCGGCAGTCTTTGCTGCTCCAGGAACAAGTCTGTCCAATGTCAGGTACCATGTTCTAAACACAGGGCCGATAATTAAACCAACAACACCCATACGAGCTGTCCTGGTGAAATCGTGAGTGATCCCTTTCTGCTCAACACACTGCTGTGTAACAACATCACCAATGGCAACAAGAACACCTAAAAAACAAACAAACAAACAAACAAAACAAAAAACACAAATTTAATGGTAAGATTCTTTACGAAGCATAGTTTACAAGTGTCCAATAAGGTTGACTAATTTCTTTAACCCTTTAACTCCCATGAGTGATTAACATGTAACTTCTCCCTAACCCTTAGCAGTATTCTTACATTATCCAGCAAACAGGCAATGAGAGTACAGTTAGAACTTGTTATCTTGATCTGACACCAAATTCTCATAACTAATTTACAAAGAAATGTCAAACAGCTGGAGGGGAGTATTGAAAATCAAACCTTAGGAGTTACACTAGTTAAGAATTTTATGGTTAGCATTCTTTAATTGTTGCTGACAATAATACAGGCCACCTGCATCAGCCCTTCAAAAGGGACAAAACGCTTCCTACATCAATAGCAATTGATTTTCTGCTAAATAATGTCCCCAAATTAAATTGGCACAAAAGTCTGGTTGTGCTGCACAGTGTACATGTGTCAGTAGCCTGCATCTTTAGAGTCTTTCATGACTTGTTTTGAAATACATTTTTCTTCAGTTGCAACTGCATGAGCCTGTCTTTTCCTCAGTTGCCACATTAAGGTGCAAACCAAGGTGTCAAATAATTGAATAAGTTATAACATAGAGAGCAAAATCACTAAATGCTAATTGCTGAGACAGAGGGCATTTTTATCAGTTTTGGATGTTGCTCTGGGCAATGAACAAAATTTAGAAAAGGCTTAACTTTGTCACAATTTTTTAAAATAATTTTTAAATGCAGCTGATTCGTACGTTTTACAGATCATTGACGCTAACTAAACACTGAAATGGCTTCCTACGAATGTGCGTAACAGCGTGCGTTGTTGATCTTATTAAAAGGAAATTTTGACTTTTATATGCTAAACAAGTAATTGTAATATTAAGGATTGATATCACCTGTGTTTTCAGAAGTTGCAGAAATCACTCTCGTCGCTGTGCAACTCGGAAAAATATTCATTTTCCTTAATTTTAAGTTTACTAAAATTTAATTTTATGTAATTATAATTTTATTCGACCCCATGCGATTACCAAACAAAATCGTTCTAACCATTCGCAGCGCGCCAAGCCCGCTTTAATAACAGAGAAAATTATCCGTGAAAATTGCACCATTATTTCTCACCTGTGCCAATAGTTTGAGTTCTCCATGGGTGAGTTATGAGTAACTGTTGATATCTGGCCCAAGCTCTCACGAGAATCCTCATTGCAAATCCCCCTTTCAGATTGTACGAAAGATACGAAATGTTATGCTCTTATGCTCTTGCCGTCATGTTGGAAATCGAGTGGCCCTGGGTCAAGAACGGC